GAGCTATGACATTGCTCCGTCGGTTGTCTTCTATTTACCTGCCTCAGTGACTAAAAAACAAAATGTTGGAAATACAAAATCCAAACCATTTTACCAAGATATTTTTCTCCTTCCATCCTGGCAAGGATATCCAAGTGGTATTTCTTTAGGGTGCTCGCATGTTGAGGCTGCATTAAGTCTGCAGCTGAGTTTGGAGAAAGGTTAGCAAAATACATTGGTATTGTAAGTGCACAAGAGCACTTATGGCTGCCTGAATTGTTATCTGTGGATGGGAACCCTCCTTCTGTCTTGGGTGGTAGGAACTGGTGTTTTGGGGTTCACAAGGCTTCTGGGTTTAGCTGTGTAAGGTACATAGCTGTTGTGGTTAGTGGAAAAAAGGTATGTTATGGTAGGGAAGAAAGGGTGACATAACTTGAAGTGCTGAATATGGAAGACTGCGGTAAATTGGAGGATAGGAGGGAAGTGTTGGCTTCTAGATCTCTGAACTGAGAACGGAGAGGTGTAATACAAGAGTTACAGAGGAGTGGTGGCAGAAGGGAACAAGAGTCAGCAAGGCGGAGAAGGCAAGATGAAGAGCCCTGCAGGAAAGCAGATGCGAGCTGAAGCAACAGGAAGGAGGCAGCTCTCTCACTCACAGTATGGAGCAAATTCAAGGGGAAGATAGAAAAAGAAAGAAAAGTTGGGAGGGAGATTCAGGCAATTGCAAGCAAGTGCATCCAAAGTTTAGAGAAGCATGTCACTGTAGGAATGGGTAGCAGTTTTTCTGGTTTTCAATCATTTCCCTGTTTCTGCCTTCCTCTTTGTTTCCCTAGAGCCAGACTCTGATGGGGATCTCAGAGCAGCAGCTGGCAGTGAGTGGCTCAGGCGAAGTTACAAGTTGCACTTGTAATTTTTTCCTATCTAGATTTTTTTTTTTTTAACGTGCCTGCCAGGTGGTTCTAGTTGAGTAGGCTGATTCTGAAAGGCAGGATTCCCATTATCCCATACAGAAAGACTGATCTGCTAAAGTAGAGTGACACTTGCTTTAACTGGTGATAATTGCATGGTCCATGCTGGCAGATGTTGCATTTGTCTTGACCTTTCATTCAAGTGCAAAGACTAACGCTTTTGCAAGAGGAAAGCAGAGCTTGTTTGGAGCTGTAATTACAAGACTATAATATGTTTCACTGTACAATGGGAACATACCAGAAAAAGTCTCTGAAGACCTTTATTTGTTGGGTAGTGATAGTACCATAATAGAAGCTTAGTCTTTCCACTCCCACGTCAGTATTAATCTGTGATTAATTGGTAAAAGATCCCCAGATGAATGCACCCATGATAGATAGAGTGTGAAAAGTGAGCTTTTGTTTGTTTGCCTTTAAAATAATTTCTATCTATTTAACATTTCTGTTCCTCACTTAGTAATTGTGCCTGACATTAAATCTACCTATTCCACGAGCTTGTTTCATGGCTTTATGGCTCTTTTCTATCTTAATGACTGGAAAACATACAATACCCTAGTGTATCGCAGCATGGGAAACACCAGCAATCACTGGCTCTGTTTAATGGCTTCCACAGTACTTTTTCCTGAAGGATAGATGTTTATTATTTTATTTGCAAAAGAGAATTAAACAGCACAGCTAGACTTCATGAACTGTATTACTTAGAGGTGTTTCTGTTGCTAATGATTTTTTAAAAAAAATAAATAATTGTTTTGGTCCTTTGCAGGAGTTGGCAAGAAAGCACTGTACATTGCTTCAGCAGGGTGCTACTTGAGTGGTCATAGTGAATTGGAAATTGCTGTTGCACAGTGAAACTCAGTTGTTTATCTCTTTTCAGCCCAACACATTTTAAAGTCTGCGTGTATGTAAACTGCGAGACTTGGAGCAGCTGTTTAAAAAAAATATCCCTGTTTAGAAGACAGGCTAAGACAGGGTCAGTCAGTGTCTAAGGGCTGAAGCAGTTTTATCTGGGTGACAGATAGTTGGTAGTTGGCAGACCAACCAGAATAGAAAATGGGTGTATATTTGCAAGTCTGCATTGGATCTGGTAGTGGCTATTGGGTCAGTTTTCACCACTTGAAAATATGGTTGAGTTGGTGCTTTCCTGCTAGCCAGTCTAAGTAGCCCATTAGAGTACAGATTTTGGCTAACCTGGGCTAAGGCTGTAGTGAACTTCTTGTTAACTTTATGGATGTACCAACTTTACGTGGTAAAGCAACTGAGATGGGAAAGAGCACTTGGGTGTCTTGGAGTTCTTTAGAAATATCACTGATACTTAAATACAGGTATGCATGTATGCCATAACCCTTAAGGGAATATTTTTCAAGACCACTTTTTTTTGTTTAAAAATTATCACCCTTTCAATAACAAAACCAGCTGTTCTCAGTCATCTACTGACTGAAACCTCTGACAGGTATATTTCCAATAGTAGATCAATAAAGATAATGTGAGCTGGCATACCTCAGATAAAATCAGTTCTGGGAGCAGAGCAGAATGACTGGTTTCTGTGGCTTGTCTAAGAGCATATTTGCTCTGCATCATTTACTGAGTTGTGCAAGTATAGGTCTTGTCCTCCAGCTTGTTCATGTTTATTGAATTCTTAGCACATCCTTTTCAACAGATGCCTGTGTAAGTTCAGTCATGCTCCCTTGCAGGCATCTTCCTCAGCTAGACAGCAGTATTTGGGGAGCATTGATTTAATGTGAAGAAACCTCTGCTCTGTTTAATTTTGTCTTTAGGAATTTCACCCAGAAGTCTTCGACATCTAGGGCTGGATTTGAGACTATCACCTGATGGAGATGTTGCTTCAGGAAGACTTCTTGACCATAGATTCTCTTCACTACCATTTTTCCTTGTCGCACATAGCCTTGCTTTGTTTACCTCGCCTGTGTCCCTAGAAGGCCAAGCATAGCCCGCTTCCCCCCAAACCTCACACATACACAACGACAAGTCTTTGTACTTGCCAGCTTGTGTTGGTCTCTTTTTGTCATAGCTTGAGAACATGTCCCTGCCCACATTTTTCTTCCTCCTGTCTTCTATAGCTTCAATTAACTTTTTTTTTCCTTTTGCTATAGTTACACTGCCCTTGATGAAATCAGCTAGGTCCTTCCCTTGCAGCTGGAGTCAATTCTTAGCCATAGTGGTTCTGGCAGTAGTCCTCTCCAATGTTAGTCTTCACATAACCATTATGTCTGTATTTTGGGGGGTTTTTGTGTGTTTGTTTCTGTTATCTATGTAACAAAAGCTCATAGTAATCTCAAAAATCAAACTCAGCTGTGCAGTATTCACATCTGGCATGCAAGTCAATGGTAATTTAGGCCACGGCTATTCCAGACCTTAAACTGATCCTTGCTGATTTTTAATTTGGCCATCAGTCAAAATTGAGGGGTGTTCCCTGTTCACTTTTCCTCTTTTCTTCTGGAAGACTATTCTAATGTCTTCTAGGTACTCAGACTCCTACATACAGAGAATTTGAGAACACTGTATTGGCTTCTTCACGTTTTTAAGGGAGAAAGTGCAATTTATATCCATCAGCTGAGGCAGTGCCCAGGACTGTGTTGAGAGGCAACTGGTGTTTTAAGGAAGGGACTGCCTGCTTTTGTAAGCACATGCTGAAGTTTTTGCCTTTCCCTCTCTCTTCTCAACAAAAAGCTTTGAAGTTCTGGGGATGTGCTGTAGGAAGAAATGTTTGGGAGCGCAACAATCTCAAAGTGTGGGTATAGCACCTGGGTTCCCAGCCACCCAGGCTGACTTGATGTGGGCTTTAGTCACTGAATGCCGCTTGAATTGTAACAAACCACAGGCAGAATGTCTAAAACCAGTGTGTTATATCCAAACTGATCTAGGAGTAACTGCAGTTGCCTGGGTTTTTTATCTCTCAATTTGTTGTCTATGCAAGACTTCTGATCTCAAGCTATGTCTGATCAGTCAGTGCCAACAAGAACTGAAAGAGGGTGTTGTTGAAGTGTCTCTGTTAGGTTAAATTATCTTCAAGAGTAAATGTGAAAGAGGTTGGTTCCTAAAATCCCAGATGAAAGGATGCACTTCTAGAAGCTCTAATCCATCATAGATTGCATAGGAGAAAGTAGTAAATTTGCCGTTTTTCAGGGGGTTTAAATCTCAAACCAAATTGCATCCCAGCTTCACAGACTTAAAGGAACATAGATACTGTTCTGTAACCAACCATTATGACTTCCTTCATTTGTAATATTTGTTTAAAAGAAAGTATTTATTGTTTGATTTTATTCAGAAAAGCTTTTGCAGAGCAATTTCTAGGCTCCTACCAGTGGAGCTATCATGTCTGGTTATATTTGTGGTAAACTGATATTCAGAAACCAGGAAACCTTAAAAGTTGAAACATCTTGGTGAAACCTACAGTTTGTTTTGGTAGGACATAAGATTGTAATCCTTATCAGTCGTGGTCTGTGCACTGAAAAGCGAGTAACAGATCAATTCATCACCAATTTCAGTTTTGACAATTGCAGGGTCTGCATTTCCATCTTGTATGATATTTCCAGTTTAATTCTGAGTTCTGTGGTAAATAAGAAGTTCTGCAGTAATTCTGCTTTGTCTCCTGAAATGGCATGCATGTGTTTATTCACAATTGTTTCCGGACATCACTGCGATACTTTTGTTTTTCTTTAAGCAAGAACTTTCGGTTTTGGTGGTTGGATGTTTGCCTTTGGATGGAGATGAGGCAGGGCTGAGAAATATCCTTTCCAAAACAGATGCTCTCTGAGGAAAGGGCTTTGCAGTATTCATAGAGAGAAGAAATCATTGTTCTAGTATTTGCCAGTTTGTACTTCTCTTTCCTACGTGATTTTTTGCAAGGTAATATCTTGTTAGGCAAACAAAGCAATTTAGTGATTGTGATAAATCAGGCTGATGTCAGTAGAAGCAGCATCCTTAAAAGCCACAGCTGTAAGACTTTCTCCATGGAATTTGGTTTCTAATAGCAGGTTTAAAATATCCTCGTAACTGCTATTTGTTGCTGCAGTGATCCTGTTCTTCCTCTTTCAGAATGAGAAGGCTTTGGGGCATTCCGTGAGCCGCTCTAGTAACATCTCAAAGGTATGTTCCTTGCTATAACTCAGTCTTTGATAGACTCGGGGTTACTGGGATTGCTTTCATTTCAAAACTGGGGTGATATGCATGACAATGTGACTAGTAGAAAATGCTTGTTATGCCTGTGTGTCATTGATAGTCACTCCTGAAACATTAGAACTCTCTGGTGTTTCGAAGACTCTCTCTACAGGTCAAATGAAATGGAAGCTACAGTAGGTTTTCTCTTTCACATGGTCAGCCTCCTTAGCTTGGTAGGAGCAAGATAGATGACAGATGCCTGAGATCTTATCTTGGAGAGAAAATTGCTCCAAAAACATCAATCAAGTATGTTATTTCATACCATAAGCTGTCTGATGTAATGTTATCTGTAAGATATGTATAGCCGTGCATCCCGAAATAAGTATTGGATATGTGGTTAAACATTATTTTATTGTCACTTCAACACTGAATTATGGTTAGTGCCATGAAATGCATTGTTATCATGACATGACTGTGTATTTTAAAATGTTTGCTATTACAGGCCCTGATCCTGTAAGGGAAGCATGATGCTCTACCCAGTCTAGTCACACTTCAGTATAGCCAATGGACACATTGAAAGCACAGTTGCTTTGTTATGCTACTCAGAAAAAAGTATCTTCTGTCCAAGCTAACTTACTACAATGCATCCCCTACTCCGAGTTCTGCATTACAAACAAGAAAGATTTTTAATTAGCCAGAAGCCTGACACCTTTTTTCTTACACAAGTACAATTGCTTAAAGCCTTCATGCAAGCAAGGCTGTACTGGTTGACCAGTGTTTCTCATGGGGTGTGTAAGCCTCAACCCTTTGTTGCCCCTGTTGATGTTGCTGGTAGTAGTGACTTTTAAAGAGAGACATAATGAGTCATTATGGCTATGAGGAGCTCAAGTCCCTTTTTTCTATTCTGAGTACTTCAGGAAGCTATTCATGCCTATCTCCAGCAGAGGAAACGGTGACTTGCATTTAATTTATGGTTTATATGGGCACAGACAACTTTCACTTTAGAACAGATAGACAAGATTACTGGATGTCTTAAATAGCAGGGCAACTGTCCAGTATACAAGGTATTGACCAAGCTGAAGGTGTCGTTATCATGGAGTGATGCGGGATTGTGTTTTGCATTCAGCATTAGAAAATGTGCATTCACAGAAAGGGGCTTGAAATAAATACCATGTGAGTATAACTTCTCATCTGTGCTTTTCTAAAATGGGACTGTGCCTGTTCATTCTTACCCTGGCTCTTCTCTTCTTAGGGATCCTTAATTGGATTTTCAGACATTGTTCAGCAGAGATGGTAGTTTTATCATCACGTATCATTGTACTTTTCACAGAATATCTGAAATTCAGCACAACAAGCCCTTCAGCAGTAGCAGTTTGGTACCCATTAGAAGCTGCATGGTTCATTCTTAATTTATCGAGAACTGGTAGTGTGTCAGTGTAGTGGGAAGGACCTTGCACTCTGGCAAAGCTCTCCCTGGGAGTGGTGTCAAGTGAGACATCAATATTTGCATTCATCTTGAAACTCTGAAACGTTTGACATGGTTGCTGCGTTTTGCAAAAGCTGAAGTTCTCAAGGGGAGCAAAAGTCAACTCTGACAGTTCAATGGGTGAGACTTTTTAGTTGCAAACTTGAGCTTCACAGAGGTATTGATGTTATTGCTGCTCCTCTGTCACCTCTGTGTCTGGTCCATCCTCTGCACTTCCTCCATTCCGGAGACAGCTTCTAACAAGGGCATTGCTGAAATCAGTCCCCTGATTTGCCTCATACATCCAAACGCTACCTTGCACATCCAGGCAGTTCAGTGCTAAGCTCCAACAATTTATTTGCAGTCTACAGGTGGGTTGGCTGTGGCAAGGAATTTGTAGGACAAAACAGGAAAGAATATAGTATTTGGATGCTGCGTGGAAGCTTAAGTACATGGAAAATTTTTCCTTAGTTCTGAGGTTTAACAGGAAAGTGCCTTTTACTTTTGTGTAGAATAGTATAACAAACTGGCCGATAAGGCAGATTGAATACATGGAAAGGAAAAAGTGTGGAAATGCTTGGCTGCCTGTATAGCCCTTTCTGAAATCCTCAGTTTGTTGATACTACACCATTTTAAGGGGAGCTATTTGACCAAAGTTGAGTTTAATCAGTTATATGCTTCATCTCCAAAGATGTTGTGTGTGTGTGTGTACAGAAATAATGATTACGCTTCCTGCAAATGACTGTTTCAGCTATTATTTTTCCACCCAAATCTAGCTTATAGCGTAGCAATGTAGCAAATCTGCTACAAATGCTTGGCACTGACACTTACTTCAAAGCCTTTCTGATGCTGATATGTCATTATGAGCCCGCTGTGATTATTACAGTGTGTCTTTCCACTGCTCTCAGTTGCACAGTGCAATACAAGTGGAAAGGAGCTGAGTCACAACTCAGCTTCTAGCCAAGAGAGGATGCTGTGTTAGTCAGTCTGACCAAGGAATCAGTGCCCTAGGGCTAAAAGTGATCAAGGAGGGAGGCAGACAGATGGTGCCACTGAAAATGAGATCAGCTGGTAGAGGTAGCAGGACCTCTCCAAACATAGACCCCAGGTGCTGGGGCCAGGTGGAGCTGTCCCTTGGCAGGAAGGGGCAAAAAGGCAGTTCTCCAAGAGATAGAAGAGGCTGAAGACATGCTAGTACATGTGGCCAGGCCAAGAAAAAACAATCACGTGAATACTTGGCTAGGGGTGAAGGCCAGAAGCAGCCGAAAAAGGAGTAGGGAATAAGATGTAGGAGGATCTTTGTAATGCTGCCATTAGGTTTTGTGCAGTCTGTTGCATGCTGGGGGATGTGGCATTCCTCTAGGCCCTTCTTTTCTTTTATTTTTGTGTATATTTCAAACACTTCTTTTAAATCTTCTCCACATGAAACGTTTGAATTTCTGGAGTCTTTTCTATGTTTGTTTTGAAGTAAAAAAATACAGTGTTGAAGGCAGGTTGAATTGATATAGTCATGGGAGTTGGACACAGGCCAGTTCCCAGCTTGCCCTGTTCAAGCACAGTGATGCTGATTGGAGTACCCCCGATTGGCACAGCATTATACAGCCCACATCCACATCTCAACCGTTTACCCAAAGTCAGCATTTTTGCCACGAAGCCACCATTCACTGGTAAGTGCCTTCATCATACAATCCACACAGAGAAATAATTAAGCTTTGTAGAAGCTTCATCCTCTAAATATAGACGAAATTGACCCTAAAACACATCTAGTCACTGAGAACAGCTAAAAAAGGGATTTTCACAGCGGTGGTGATTCATGCCCTCTGCTTTTAGATAAAGGAATTGTGCTTACAAGCAGATTAAACAAGGTCACTAACAAAGCTGGTCTGTAAACAGTTGTCCTCAAATTAGTGATATTGTTTAGCTTTACAGTGTCTGATATATCTTGAAACTGATGATGAGACATACAGAAATATCTTCCGGTCATCTGTGTGCTGTTCCTGTCATCTAAGTGCTCTGGAGGGCTGATTTTAGTGTAGTGGGGAAACACTTTGTAGTCTTATTTTTGTGGCCCTCTAAGGGGTAAACTTTGTAAATGCTAATACTGTGATCAGACCAAAGGAATCAAAAGTGCACTCCTTAAAAAATGTAAATGCTTTGTCTTTCTGAAGGCCTGTACAGTTTTATCTTTGGAGCAGAAGCACACTGTAAAGTATTAAATTATTCTTGGGCTGAATGGCAGCCAGTGCAGATGCAAAGTGGGTAGCCTAAGCTTGCTATGAAATTTAAAATCCATTTGGGCTGTTCATCAGCTTGGAACAGATTTAGAAAAGCACATGAATAAACACGTTCACTGTTGCCTGAAGCTTTGATGGATTCAGTGAGCATTCGTTCGTAGAAAAGCAGTCCAGGTTTTTCAGATGCAGAGTTTAGCTGTCCTGCCGTCTATCAGATGACCAAGGCTTACTGAAAAGAACTCCCGTGTGAAACTGTTCGGCTCAGGTACATGAGCCTGGGGGTAGGGAAACTTAAAAAGATGGTAAAAAATAAATCATTCTACAGTGCTATTTGGTGAAAGGAAAAGACAGGAAAAATTGTATAGCGTGAAGATTAAGGTATGCTCTTCTCCCCACCTGCAAGAGCAAGTAATCTCATGCTGGGGCGTGGTGCAGTCATGTTTGTAAGGAGTGCAGTAGTCCCCTTTTGCTATGATAAATCCCCTCTCCTGGGGCTGGATTATTACTTCATATGGGTATGAGGGCACTCAGTGAAGGAGGAACCTGCAGGAGTCTCCTTTCCTCTTTTGTTCCCTCTGTCCATTCAGGGTATTTTGAGAAAGATTTTAAAGTCAAAGGGCTGTATTTTTTTTCCTTCTTCTTCTCCTGGCAGAACCTGTGTCATTGTTACTGGGTTTAGTCAACATTAATGCTGTGCTATTGGAAGGTTGATTACACTTGGGGAGATTTTGAAAGGATCAATAGCCTCCTTTCTCTAGTGCCTTCAGCTCTGATATCTATAGAGAAAGTTCCTACCAGAAACCTCCTTTAGATTTCTTTAGGAACAATGAGGGGAAGCTGACTTCAGTTTCACTCCTGGTTTCTAGATATAATTTTAATTATGGTCATATGTGTTATATAAAGTATGGAACAAAGTTTTTCCAGCAACTGACTGCTGGTTCTTATTGAATTGTTGCCAAAATTACATATGGTGGAGTTGATAATCCTGAAAATTTCAAATACCTGTTGCCCACATCTTTTCTTTTTTTCGCCAGTTTTTTTTAACCACTCTCCGTTCTAATAAGGCATCTTATCCCAGCTAAAGACGCTTGATTTTAATATGCGCTGGAGGCAAAATGGCATGAATCTGGTAGGGAGAATTTAATGGAGAAGACCAGAAGTTACCAGTGTTTGATCCTGCCATGTTGGTATTTAGGAAAAGCTTTCACAATCAGCCTGTCAGCAGGGTTGTCTGCCCTTCCCAACATCCAGTCTGTGTGCAGGTGGCCTGTTCTGGCTGTCTCAGGTGTCAGGTTAGTACACTTGGCATGGCAGGTTGATCTCGTTACACTGCTGCCTGGGTGTGCTAGTTGAGCTGGAGTCCTCCTTTGGCACCCGTGCAGTGAAACAACCACGTCTGTTCCACAGATGAGCTTTGGAGACTTTCCAGCTGCAGTGCACTTTAGCAAGAGCCATCATCCAGCATGTACGTGGAATACAGCACTTGCTCAAAGCATAAAAACACAAATATGTGGCATCCTGGTGGATGGCTGGAGCCAAGCAATTATATTTGTTCTGCAGTGGCTCGAGAGAAATGATGGACGTGTCCCTTGGCTTTTATCGAGACCTCCCTGCCTGCCTTCAGCCCAGGCTCAGGACTTCTCAGCACAGCAGGCAGAACGGAATTTGCCACTGTGGATGAGACCGGGCTGGGGCTGCCCCTGTCAAAGGGAGGAGAGGTGAGTGGGTCAGGGGTGGCACACACAGAGTCAGATTACCTGGGTCTCTTCATAGTTTCCTTTCTGTTTCTGAAGACTAGCCAGGTTAGCTATGGAGCGCCTTGCAGTGGAACTTTGTGCCATTTTTTCACAAGGCCCCCATTGCTGTTGTTTTCTTTCCTAGATCACTGTCTATACATAGGTCCAGCCAGAGGAACAGGTATGCGGTGGTTGGTCTTGGTTTCTGTGGTGTAAACTAAGGAGGGAGAAGAGCCTGGGGCTTTCTCTGCCTCTGGATTTGTACCATGTGAGATAAGTGTCTGCCATGTCCATGTCTAGCAGCAGCCTTGCCTTCTTAATACATATTTAAATAGGATCTGTGTGAGAGAGATAAAATATCTCTTTGGCAATGAGTTCTTCTAAAACACAGGGTGTGATAACCGTCCCTCTCATTCTGTCTTTCCCGTGTGCTTCTGCCACATTTGTCATTGTGATGTGTTAATACCAGGAGAGACAAATCTGATTCGAACAAAACTCCCAGTGGCCCATTGTAGATCGTAGCAGTGTGATCTTGGTGCTGAAAAAGCATCGTAGTGCAGGGGGATTGCTTGGGTCTGGGGGGATTAAAGGCCTCAATCGCTAGCACATAGGTCTAGGGTTCGTCATTGGAGGTGATATTCCTTCATGCAAAGGGCATCAAAGTCCACAGAGATTCACCAAGTGATTCTGGGGTTAGAACAGTCAAATACTGGCTGTCAAGGTTTGGACTGTCCATCACATAATGAGCATAGCAGAAACCTCCTATGACAAGGAGTGCTTTAAAACCTACTACTGCTGTCGCCATCATAAGTAGCGAGTTCAACTGAAGGTGCTGCTGCTGGGGCATTAAGAACGCTGTGTGTGTGTGTGCCAGAAGTGACAGAGCGGTGAAGGCTTTGATTGCGTATTTTCCTAGCCTCTTCAGAGGTGAGACTTGTGTGGGAGCAACGTCAGAGCTCCAAGCTAGCTAGATCCACCTCTCTGTTGCATTCACCCATCACGTTGCCTCTTCTTTGCCCTGTTCTGGTGCAAGGCTGCTAGTGTTTTTTTCTTTTCTGTGGCACGTCTCTGCCTGATAGCTGCTGTATCTAAGTAAACCCAGGTGAGCTGTGTGGACGGGTGGGTGTCAGCTGCCTATACTTCTGCTGACTAGCAGAACTTACTTCTTGGGCTCTTGGCAGCTTGCATTTCACTGTGGTCTTAAGAGTGAGTTGTGCTTTGCCATTAGAGGCTTGTTGCTGTAACCAACTGATGTTCTTCTGGCAGCTGAAGCTAGGGAAGTGACTGGCATTAAACAAGCTCAGTAAAAGAAGAGCTTAGTTTTACCTCCCTGCACTGTCCTAATCTGGTTTGCAGTGCAACTGTGTAAATAGTTTCAAGGGCAAAAGGAATGGGAGGAAAGGAGGACGGACTGAGAGACTGGAGGCTCATTGAACCGTGGCTTTTGGTGGTAGCCACGGCTTATGTTAGTTCAAACCAACTGTGGGGCGTAACTTCTTCCAATGTTTTGTTTTTCCACTTTGTGATGTCTTTCCAAATGTGTTAACTTCTGTTCATATTTCAGTTGCATTTGCACGATGTATAGAGATGGAGCAAAGGACCTCCTGTATTGAAGCAGAAAAATGGGAGGAAAAGGAAATGTGCCTCAGATGTGGGTTTTTTGCAAGCTGTCCTGAGCAGTGCTGGCGTTTAGAAACAGAATAATGCGTTTGAAATGCAAATGAAATCCCACAATTTCTTGTTTGTCTCAGCCTTCTTCTTTCCCAAGTGGCAGGATTTTGTCACTGTCTTGGTGCAAGGCTATTGGATCAAGAAACCAATAACATGGTTTTGGAAGGGAAATTTTGGATCATTGAATCTAGTCATCTCCTATTAGACTGTCACATCATATATACCACTGTCTTTTTTGGAAAGCTTCATGACTAAAGTGAAAGAGTAGAGAGATTGGATTCATTCTAAGCAGGTTACCTTCTGTGATTTGTTCATAACATAAAAGCTGAGACAGATCTATTAATTGATTTGTGACTTAAGTTCCAACAATATATGTCTCTGTTTCCATGGCAGAATGCAACATGTTGTTTTAGTGGTTCAATATTTTGTTTTTAGAAGATTGCTAATTATGTCTTTTTAAATAATTCATTGTTTAAGTCTTATTAATTTTCATTTGCATAATTATAGCAGCAGATTATAGTGTGTCAGGTCTTTCACTAACTTGTCAGTCTAGAAAGTAACTACTGCACAAACCCTTTTTAAAAGACAGGATTTGAAGTCATAAATGTACCTGCTTTTAGAAGAGGTTAAGCATCAAACAGAGAGAAAATTTCCAAGTAATACCTGAGTTCACCTCACTTTATGATCAGCATGCTATACCATTAGCGTGTGCAAGTGGTGTAAAATGTAAAGAACCATAGTTTCCAGGATAAAGCCAATAATTGATCTTTAAGTCTTTAATTTGTTTTGTCACAGTCATAATATAGTTCAGTTTGCTTTCTGGACCAAGGTTATTCTCCTGGTTTTTATTCTATACATGTACGTAGCTGGGTAGGATGGGAAATAAGTTACAGTGTCTTGCTGTGGATCAAGAGGTGTGTGTTTAAACGAGTCTTGCAGACCCAGCTGTAAGTGGATACATGTTTTTTTCAGGCTCAGTGCACCTGTGGCATCCCGATGTGAGGCCAGACACATTGCTCTCTTTAGTGCTGTTGGCTGGGGAAATAAAACCTTAACAGACGAATCTGGTAACACGGAAGATAATGGTCGGATCTGTATTTATAAAGCAGCATGTGTATCCTGCTATAACCATCTTCTCTTGCAAAGAAAGGAGGGTACATTGCGTGATAAGGAACTTTGCTTTTCTTATAGAAGTGTAAAAGCCTGCAGCAGTCTTGTTTAAATATTCCATAGGGGCTTTTAACAGATTAAGTATAGAATTGAAGAGACCTGAGACAGATATTGTGTGTGTGTTGCACCATGACAGAGATCATCAAAGCAGTGATGACTGAGCTAGATCTGGCCTCTCAAGCCGAAGTACAGGCCTGGGCACAGTGTGCTTCTGTGGCAACACACTTTGCACGACCTGAGGTCCCTCCTAGTCTGCCTTTATGTACTTGCCTAGCCCAGGTCTGTGCTGGTTGTGCTGCTTTTTGCACAATCCAGTGTGGTGTTGACACTTTCATTGTTCTGCCGATTGCATAGTTCCTTCCTGGGTATCAGGCTTTGCTTTGCAGATCAAAAGAGCTGTAAAACCTTTGTTTGAATTTTGAAATGCAAGCAGTGTTTTGTAGAGGTGGGTGAGCGGCACAGCCGCTGTGGAACAGTTGCAGAACATAGGAGAACCGGGTTTAAAGATTCACTGTTACGAGGTTATCAGTGCAGCTCTCCTCCTTGCCAAAACCTCTAAGAAGAGTCGAGAAGTTTCTGCTAGTGACCCACAGAATATAGTAGCAGAAAAGGACTAGAATAATAGCCCATCAAGTCCCAGCCCTGAGACAACGATCATTCTTACTGTGTTGATTTTAGAGGCTTCTCTATTAAGTGTTAAATATGCCGAGAGCTTAGCTTTATCTTTTTGAGTTAGTTCAGTTGAATTTGAAATCTTCAGTTATTTTATATCTCACTGTGCTCTTGTTGGGTTTTACAAATGTGACTGCTGCCACACCTCTTCTCCAGGTAGGTGGAAGACCCTGTTGGAGTAAGAGCAGGATGAAAGGTCTGGGAAAGTATGAAGAGTACTTCAGGGAATGGTTTGGTTTGGTCTGGTCTGGCAGATGGTGCTCATGTGCATATGCTAGTATGGAAAATAAGTCCCCAGATAGTGTCTGAATTACTGATGGTTCTGTCTTGTGGGGGGGGGGCGCTGGGGGGGAAACCAACCAAACAACAAAAAACCCAACCAACCAAACAAAAAAAACCAAACCTAGCCTCTAATCTCTTGTCATCATTATAAGTGGAAGGATTAGCTATTCTGTAGTAGCTAAATTCCGACTAGTCTGTACACACACCTCCATCTAATTATTCTAATTATTGTAGCATTGCTCATTTCCTGAGCTATTGTTCTGTGCAATGTTTGACAGCTGGCAGGTTCCGCTCCAGAGATGGCTGCATTTGACCTTGGGGGGAAAATGTTTCTGTTCTGCTTACTACTTTTCCAAGGATGAGGCTGTGTGACCTCCCTTTTTAGCATTTTACAGTAAAGCAACTAGCCCTTGAATATCTGATAGAGAGTGATATCTGACTCCATATGCTGTGTTTAATCTGAAGAGAATTGCTGTGCAAACCAAATTCTTCCGATTTATGACTTGCTTTTTGTTTTTGTGTTTTTTTAAATTTCACTGCAGGCTGGAAGTCCAACCGCTGTCTCTGCCCCTCATAGCTTCTCTCGGACTTCTGTTACACCATCCAACCAGGACATCTGCAGGTAGAGTGTGTTGTTTGCATGACTACAGTGAGGCCCGTGTGAGGGGGCAAAACCAAGCAAAACAAAAACTGAAAAAGCGCATGTATGGGGAAATAAGCAATGTGGGGTTCCCATTTGAAGTGTCCTGTTTGTTTGACTCAACTGCTGCCTAACATTGCTTCATTGAATCCTACTGACTGTTTGGCCCCTCTGTTTGCCATTCCCACACTAGCCGTAATTCTCATCTCCTCACTTTTAATTATGTGTCTTTTCTTATGTAATTGTTTTTTACTTTCTGTGCTTTTATTCCACTGTTCTGCATGCAGTTCCAGTGCAGTGTTTTCTGAGTGTTGTCATCACAATCCAGTGCAGTCTGCTGTTGTCTTGAAAAATCCTCACTGCCAGAGCCCTCTGACACAAGGGGTCACTGTGACAGTAATCTCTCAGGACACACTGCATGCAGCAAAGAGAAACTCCCGTGGGCAGGATCGGGGACAGGCACTCAGGTCTGCTAAGAATGTAAAGCCCACCCGCACCCTGAAATTCTCCAGGTCCCTCAATGACGTGGACCAGAAGGCACAGAGCACCAGTGAGTGCTTTAACTATGTGGACCGAACACGCTCAGAAGGCAAACTGATCCCGACTCAAGAGCAGTGTTTAAGGATTAACAAGTTTAATCTTAAAGAGAGGAAACCACTAAACCTCAGGCCTCTTTCTTTTAGCAATTCTAAGCACTCCTACATCCCTTCCCTTTCCAACTACTCAAGTGCATCGGGAGGAGCAGAGAACCACAGCACTGTGCATATCCCTTTGCTGGAGGACAAAGTGGACCACGACACCTCAAGGAGCAAAAAACTGTTGCGTTACCTTTTTTCCTTCTCCCACACCTCCAGCACCAGCAGCCTGCATAAATTCCATGAGCTGGAGAGCTATTCCAGTCACTTCCAAGCTGAGAAGTCCTCCAGCATGCTGGTGGAAAGCACGGACTTCTGCTCTGATGACATGGGAGACGATGACGTCTTTGAGGACAGCACCTCAGTGAAACTGAAAACAAAAGAGCAGCGGGCGCCACTCTGTTCAGTTGAGAAGGACAGTGACCTTGACTGCCCTTCCCCCCTCTCAGAAAAATTCCCCCCTCTCTCCCCTGTGTCCACATCAGGGGATACCTGCAGGTTGGTTTACCAGAGAACCGCCTACCTCTGAGCTCTCCTATGTGCGGTGGTGACCGTTCTGCTTTCTCCTGCCTTTGTGCTGTTTCTGTCTTTTCTTTCACCCTGTCACGTTGCTTTAATATGTGCGATTTGAAGCATGCAGTCTTCTCTCTGCTGTCCTGCACCCCTCTAATGCACTTAACAAGGCTACTAAGCGAAATAATTTCCTTTGGAGTCAAATAAATTCTCTTGCAATTTGTTTCAAGTTTGGGGTTCTGAGACGGTATTTTTCTCTTATCAGTGCCCAAACTGGGAATATCATGAGAGAATCAGCTACGCATATTAAAGGCCAAACTGAACATGTCTTAGCTTTTGATGAGCAATGTGTTGTCCTGACAGTCACTGCTGGTTTGGTCAGAGGGTGGGTAGTCAGGAGGAAACAGACTGTTTGAAAATTGCTCCTGAGATCAGGTCAATATAGCTTAAGATATTTTTTTTTTTTTACATCTTTTCCTCATAGTTTGTATCCCACCACACTCTTTTATTTGTAAATGGCTTTCTGGATGCCTTAGTCGAAAAGGGCTATCTGAGCACTGAGTGTTAGTGGTGGACCTGTGTGATGTCCATAGTATGAGGTACAAAAAGGATGGGTGTCCCTATTTCAGCTACAGAGGATTAATCATGTGCACAGGTGGTGGCAACAGCCAGCCATGGACTGTCTTCGTGGTGACTTGTCTGCAGGTCTGCCCCATCCCAGCTCCAAAACGTGGCTGAAGAGCAGGAGTCACCAAGTACAGGAACAAATGTCCCATCACTCTACCTACCATTTTACTATCCTAATCTTTCTCCTCCCTGACAGCACTTTCTGAAGCTGGCTTTGTTACTACTTGCCAATATTATTTGATTTCCCCCCTCATTACAGCAAAATTTTGTTCTGTACTGGCTTGTCATCAACAAGATGCTGTTGTAATCCACCCACTCCTTCATTTCCACTTGCCAGCTATCAGCAAGGTCACAAAAGGCAAGATGCTACACATCAGTAAGATATTTCAGTAATAGACAGGGATGGCAGTGTGCCAAGAGGTACTTCACATATGCTTAGTAACTTGTATTAATTCCCTGAGCTCTTTACCCATCCCCCTTTCAATTCATGGCCCCTTCCACATGGTTAGAAAGATTTAGTGATGTTTGATGCAGCCCAAGGGTTGTGTATAAGTTGAAGCTGGAAGTAAATGCCAGCACCTGGTAGTAAAGCAATATTGCGTGTCCTTGCTGTCTGCACAGTTAGGCTGTGAGGTAAACGAGGAATTTTGCAGAGCTGATGCTTCCTTAGTAGCTCTTGCAAAATAAGAACTGGAGAGCAAAACCATTAGCCTCCTTTGGAGTAGGTGTATTTTTGGGAGATTCAGTGCATTGCACTGTGGATCTACCTCTTAGCAATTGGCACTAGAAATAATAATTTATCTTGCACAAAATGCAGACTCTCTAAATTAACTCTTCGTGATACTGGGGTGGGCTGTTTCACCATTGGTTTGGGAATTTTGTGTTATCTTCTGTTTCAGATCGTAATCCATGAGTAGCTGTACCTCTCTGTGCATATTTTGTCTTGGGAAGTGCTGTCTGATCTGTTTAAATGCTATTTTCAGTTAAGTGCTATTGTTCTAGATGAAGCGTTGTCATTTCTTAACCTGTTTTTTCTTTGGGTACTGCATTTCTGTCAGGCTCTGTGTGTCCGCCTCATCTGTTAGAAAGCAGCTGTCTAGTTAGCAGTGTCTGTGCTCAATTATTTTGTGCCTGTATATATGCTTGCGCAGCAAGGGAGTTCTTTAAATTTAGCTTTTTTGTGGAACACATTCCTTTGATATGTATGTATGTCTCAGGATCCTCAATGGATAACCATGTGTGATCACAGATATTACATGCCTTTTCCACATCCTTTCTGCTTCCTCTCTCCTAATGAGCAGCTTTGCTTCTGATTCAGGATATGTCACTGTGAAGGAGATGATGAGAGCCCTTTGATTACCCCCTGTCACTGCACGGGAAGTCTTCATTTTGTGCACCAAGCCTGCCTGCAGCAATGGATCAAGAGCTCAGATACACGAAGCTGTGAATTGTGCAAGTACGAGTTCATCATGGAGACAAAACTGAAGCCTTTGCGAAAGGTAGGCACAAGACCTGCTTCCCCAAGGAAATGCTTTGTTAAACACAGATCCACTCTGAAAAGAGGCAGTCCTTGCCCATGAGCCCACAGCATCCCCCATGTACATATCATGTTTCTGTGGCTCCTTAGTAAGTCTGGTCAGTTTTGTATAGGTGCAAAAGGATTTAAATTAACACTCAGCCTGGCAAATTTAACATCAGTGGAATTCAGCTCTGAGAGTTACCTGTTGTAGCCTGGCAGCTCTCTGTATGTAAGTATACATCCATACACACACATACATGCGTGCAGCAACCTGATTTTTTTCTTTACAGTTATATTTCAGAGCCGATGCACAAAGGTATTTGCTCTGCAGTTATCCACTTTTTTTTTTTAAATACAGAGTTTTGTATTACTATTACCTGCTTTAGTTTGCTGCTCCAAGATCCACAAGGCTTTTCACAGAATCACAGAATCATAGAA